AATTGGAAGGTGTTAAATATTTATACTATAACGATGTTAATTTTTTGCAAGTTTGTTTGGAGGTTCTAGCACAGAAGTGCCACTACTCATTTACTTTTCACAGAAGAATGGTCTACCTCTGTTGAGGAGGGTTGCCTTCTTTAACGAATCTGCAGTTTCAGGAGAAATACATACAGAGTTATAAGGAAAGAAGTAGTCACCTGCCTAGCTGACCAAACTGACTGAATCACCCCTAGTTTATCAGGCCAGATCACCTGAACGACCTGATATTCATATTAAGTATTACACTAACCAACATTAAGGGAGTATATAGAGGGAAAGTATGAATATAAGTAAATAAAAATATCGATGGAACAATGCCAGAAGACTTTTAAAGCCTTGAAATATATAGCAAATTTTAATAGACATTAACATGGAAAAATCAGTAAGTGGCAATGTAAACAGATTTGTGAGGGCCAGCTGGATATGCCACAGACTTATTCTCCCTTCTTCTAAGTAATACCAGGTCTAGCTGAGCACATGATTGACACAGTAAAACTCTATTTGTAGCTTCCCTTGCAGTTTGGTTATGACCATGTGACAAATCTTTAGCCAATTTGATGGAAATGAAAGTGCTTAATGATAGTTTCTACAGCTTCTTTTTGAAAGACAGTTGGTACACACCACTTGATATTTTGTCTTCTCTCTGTTCTACTACTAGGAGTTATATATACCATCATTATAGATCTTGAAGAGGTGTGGCACCACACAAGTGAAGGAAAAAAGATGGAATGCATTAGTATTTCTAAAGCTACCCTAGCATTTCTATACTAGCTACAGATAGCACATCAACTGGACAGAACTGTAAGGGTCTGTCTAAGCCAGTTTTATTTTGAGTGTTTCTGTAATTCACAGCTAATTCACAGATGGAAGTAAATACCAAAGGTATCATCTAATGGAGTGAAAATGTTTGACTCTAGCTATTTGAAAAGGCAGTAGGGGGAGAGTGGGAGAAGTTTTAAAACAAACGCTACAAAACTTGCTATGTTTGCAACATAACTTTAGTTTGAAACTATTTAGTTGTTTTATACAAATAAGTTAAAGGAAGTTAAGACAATTGCCTGACAATGTTCCCTAAAAGAACCATAGCTTAACAAAACCCCACTACCAGGCACAAGAAATTTCCTTTCAAATGGTTGATCAGAGTAGTCTCAAGGAACTGCCAAAACAATATATATTAGTGAAAGTAGCCCTTGGTTGCCTCTCAGGGTTTGAAGGTGGATCCTTATTTCTGAAGAGACCACATACTTAGGGCACATGTGATTCTAGCTGGATCTGACCTAAAAGCCTCTTTCCTGTAGTCTAGTTTCCATGGTTCCAGAACATGCTATGCAAACTTTCAAGGGAGAGAAGCAGTTAAACAGTCCTAACCAGATGCACCATCTATGAACCATGACAATAACCATCACGGTAAGATATGCATAATGGCACAATAAGTGGCACTCACATGTCAATGGCACCCAACAGCTGTCTTAATTGGACGTAAGGCCCACTCAACAGGAGGAAAATCATGCTTGGTACTGTAAGTCCAGTCAGCTTCCCAGGGCTAGTGAAGTCATGGACCTTAGAAAAGAATCTACTTCTGCCACTTTGCTAGACCAACATAATTCTTCACTATATTTTAATGAAAACTTATCCTTATACCCAGACATAAATGTAGCTACCACCCTTAATCAATGAAGCTCCTCCTTACAGCAAATGGAGACAACCACAAAAAAATCACATCAACAGACTGTAGAGAGCTCAGCCATAAAAGATACATTTGCATAATATCTCCTCTATAGATACAGCTCAGGAAATATTGTGGAAGAGAGGGCAGAAATATTGTTAAGAACCAGAATACCAGGAAGTGTGCACAAACAAGACTGGAACAATGGCAATATCAATGGGTATATTAGTATGAAAGGGAAAGACTTTTGTGGGGTCCCACCCCTAGACAAAGAAATATAAGCAACCTTCTGGGAAAAGGAGAATTAGCCTCTCTTAGGGATGACCTCTCTCTCAATTATTGGTTGTTTAATGCAGAATGATCACCCCTGAAGTCATATACACAGACAACAATGGATTTAGTAAGTTGTATTTATGAATTTATGAAGGTTTGGGAAAAATTATTAACAAGTACCCCCAAAAAGTTGACTCACCTACCCCCCTCTGTGTGTGTGTGTGTGTGTGTGTGTGTGAGGCTATCAACTTCAGAGTTGGGGAGAAAATGGGAAGGTAACTGAGCAGGGTTGGAGTGAAGAAGAAGAGGGACCAAAATTATAGAATTCTATTTAATTAAAAATGTTTAGTTATTTTATTTATTATTTATGTTTACATATATGTGGTTGTATATGTATGGTATGTGTGTATGTTCATGCCACAGTGTGCATGTGATAATCACAGAACAATTTTCAGATGCTAGCTACTTCTTTTCTTCTACTATGGTAACTGAGGCTTAAATGCAGGTCATGGCTTACAGAGAAAGCACTTTAATCACGGAAGCATCTTTGATTTTTAAAAATAAAATTGAAAATCACAAAAACACAAGCTCCACATTTCCCTATTTGTGGTCTTTACTTAGGTTCTCTATGCTACGATGCCACATTCATGTAGTCTCCAGTAAATTTTTTGTATTATCCCTCTTGCTATACTCAAAACTCCTGGAAAACAGGATGTCAGACGCATTTTTTCCATTGTTAGTATACACTCTTCACATAGCAGCATACTCTGCAAACACAGGATTGAAATAGATTTTACATTCGGATCAAAACAAGAAAAGCACTGACTAGGACAATACATTTTGAGAAACCTTTGCCCTTTGTCTCTCTGTATATGTTTGAAAAACTATGTTATTGCATCTGGAAGAGTTTTATGTGTTGCCACTTGTTCTTTAACAGTACTTCCTTCTGGATCTTCTGAGATGACACTTAAGCATGTGCTGAAGCCAGTTAATAACTTTACACAGAGCCAACTGTTATCTTTTCTTCCTGCTTCTAAGTAGAACGAGACTTAGAAACACAATAGTGGAAATCTTCATACCGTAGAAACCAGCAAATATTAAAAACAAACAAAACCAAACTAAAACCAAAACCAAAAAAGGCACAAATACCTTAAATAAATATTATTAAACATTTATAATACCATAATTATCTCAACTTCATATAAATGCCCTAAATGTCCTTCAAATGGTATATAAACTACTATCCCAATAATTGATTAGTATAATTATTTTATCTACTATTTATTATCAGAATACATGAGATTAATTTCAGATCACTTAGTGCAATTTTCTTCTTTTTTATCTATTCTTCTCTCATATATTACATCCTGACTGCAGTTTCTCTTCTCTCCTCCAAATCCACCTCCCTTCTCCCCCATATTCATCCACTCCTTCTCCATTTCCCTTCAGAAAAGAGAAGGCATCCCAGAGATAACAACCAAATATGGCATATCAAACTTCAGTAAGACTAGGCACAAACCCTCATATCAAGGGTGGATGAGGAAACACAGTAGGTAGAAAAGGGTCCCAAGAGCAGGCAAAAGAGTCAGAGACAGCCCCTGCTCCCATTGTTAGGAGTCCCACAAAAACACCAAACTACACAACCATATAGAGGACCTAGGTTATAACCATGAAGGCTTCCTGATTTTCCGTACAGTCTCTGTGAGCCCATATGATCCCTACTTAGTTGATTCTGTGGGTTATGTTCTCCTGGTTCTCTCAACTCCTCTGGCTTCTACAATTCTTCCTTCGCCTCTTCCACAGGATTCCCTGAGCTCCACTTAATGATTGACTGTGGCAACTTTTTACATAGTATTAGTAACACTTGTAAAAGAGTTTCAATGAGGAATGTTTGGTATATCATACAATTGACTCATTTAGCTTATAAAATTAAGATTTTTCAAGGTATTAACAGAGATGTGTATCAATCACAACAAATTCTGTAAATATTTAAATATTACATCATTCCAAAAAAGAAACTCTATACCCACTGCCAGTTACTACCTTTTTATTTTGGTTTTTTTGAAGCAGGGTTTCTCTGTATTGCTTTGGAGCCTGTCCTGGAACTCGCTCTTTAGAACAGGCTGGCCTCGAATGCACAGAGATCTGCCTGCCTCTGCCTCCCAAGTGCTGGGATTAAAGGCATGTGTCACCAACACCCAGCTCAGTTACTACCTTTACCTCCCTACTCCTAGTTCTTGGCAATTCCAATTTATTTACTGACTCTACAGTGTATCAACTTTGCACAATTCATATAAATTTAATCATGCACTTGATTCTTTTCCTTAACAAAATACTTTTAAGGCTTTCCCTTCTTGAAGCATGTGTCAACATCAATTTTCTTTATATTGACCTATAATAATCTATTACATGCTATAATTTTTATCTATTCACTTGGATGACATTTACCTCATTTGCACTTTGGGGCTACTATGAATAAGACATATATGTATGCGAGTTCTTTGGGGGACCTATGTTTTCTATTATGAGGCTAAAAAGGCAAAAGCAGAATTGCTGACTTATAAGATAAACCTATGCTAAACTTTTCAAGGACTGTTTTCTGAAGTGGAAATGCAAACATTTAATGTTCCCACCAACAGTGCATAGGGTTTGTTTCTTCATGTCCTGACCTACTTGTGATTATCATTACTTTAATTACATCCATCATGGTGGGTGTTACTATGTCATGGAGTTTTGATTTCAATTTCTGTAATTATGTATATGTGTATATATTAATGCTAAATGTTTTCCTTTTAGCATTTTATACTTTATTTGACTTTTTATCACTCAACAGTTGTGTTCTTTCTATACTCTGAACATAATTTCCTTATCAGATACATATTTTTAAAAATGTCTCCCTTTATGCAGGTATTTTCATTTCATTAATGATATTGTTTGCAGTACCCCATACTACTAGTTCTCAAGCTTTCATTTATGCTTCTCATCAACTAAAGCATGAATATTACTGAACATGTCTTACCCGAACTATTTCACAGTCGACATTTAATTCAGTTGCAACAGCTTCAATCTTCTCTCTACATACAGAGCCCAGGCTGGTCATACCATTGTCCCAGTACTTCTTAAGGGTAGCCAAGTCTCGGTCACTAAACTGAGTGCGGTCCTGCAACTAGAAAATACATTTAAAATTTAATATGACCAAGGAAAGCAATGCTATTGAGAGGGTAAACATGCTGGGAAATAGAAGTACCAAGCTAAGTTCAATATATAATATTGTGAAGGTGACCAGACCAACATTTTTTTCATTTGCAAAATTAGCATGTTTAAGGGCAATACACGAGTCAGGAGTTGAAACTGAGCTCCCAAGAAAAGGTATTCTCCAGACTATCAAAGCAATAGACTTGTAACAAAGAACATTTATCAGGCCTGGAATGAATGAAAATCCTATACTCCACAAAATGTTATTTTCTCTTTTAAATGGTGGGTCTTTAAGAGCTCATATTCCTCTATCTAGATGTAAATTTAAAAAAATGTCTGGAGGAAACTTTGGACTCAGATATCCTTGTACCAGAAAAGGGTCATTGTGTATGTTCTAGCCTTTGTCTCCTTCCTTTCTATAAATACTGAGATAGCTACAGGCATGGTTGGGAGGAAGGCAGACTCCTCCCACTTTGGCCAAACAGTAAGTGAATCCAAGTCCTTTGTTAATTTTATTTTTTAAATTGTCTAAAATACAGAGAGATTGAAACTGTGAGTTTATGAACCCAAGTGTCCAGCAAAATAACAGTTAAATAGGTTGTACAAGTATTTCCTCATTATGAAAATGTATGTTTTCATCGTTTTAAATTTCCATAATACAGTGTGCTAGGATGAAAGGAATAGAACTGCTTTTAACTGAGAGCAATGTGACGTTCTTCATTATGCAAACATGCTCATTATAGCAAACAGATAAACAAGACAATTTAAATTAAGAATCTGGAATAATACTTAACATTCTAATTTATATTCTTTCAGATTTTTTCCTTTAATGCACACATTCCCATTCATATATTATAAATGATGGAGGCTAGGAATAACACATCTCACTCAATAAAGTGCTTATTTTGCATGCAGAAGGAACTGCCTTGGGTCCTAGGCACCTATGCAAAAGGCAGTATGATTGTGTGCTCTTGTAATCCCACTGTTTAGGAAACAGAGACATAATAAAGTCCCTGGGTCTTATTGGTCAGCCAATCCCAACCTAACTGGTGAACTCCAGGCCAATGAGAGACCCTGTCTCAAAGGAAGTCTATGGTATCCCTGGTGATGACACACTGGCCTCTATACACACGCAGAAATTTGTACACATACGCACATCTGGGACATATATGAATACACACACACACACACACACACACACACCTGTACACACCCCTAAGACAGCATAACCAGCATAACATCAGTGTGCTGCTTTATGGCACTAATCTAGAGTTATCTTATGTAGAGAGGAAGACTAAAGGCCCCAGAGCACTTGATTCCCAAGAAGAGATTTCACACAATTCTGACAAATTAACACACACACACACACACACACACACATGCATGTATATATATGTGTGTGTGTGTTTCATCTTTTCTATAAAATTCTAGAACTGCTATAGAAAAGGTAGAGAGAAACTATAAATCTTTTCTCCCTCCCAGGTGGGCCAAACAGCAAACAAACCTATTTGCTTTGTCAATTTGTTTCTTAATTCATTACAATGCAGCAAGTTTATGAACTTAAGGACCCCTAGTAACATGATGAATTTAAAAGGCAAATAAGTAAAATGTAAGAGGACATTGTAATTGTGGAAAATGAATCATATTTATAGCTTCAGAAAGTTTCCAATAAACCTAACCTTTTTTTGTTCATAGGCTTTTAAAAACACAATATACAACATGCTTTCTATATTGTTTAATCCAATGAGTTTTAGATGAATCCCTAGGAGGTAAGCCAGAAACATGATAGAATAATGACTTTCATTTTGCTGATAAGGAATGAGGAAAAGAAAGGTCAAAGGACTCATTCAGTAGGGTGCAAAGGGTTCAATCCAGAGGTACAAATAGAAACATCTTTATTTTTTCTATAAGCCTTATCCCTGTGATTCATCCAATTATCTTACAGGGTACTGGAAAAAATTTAAATATATATATTCTGAAATTTTCTGTGCGTTTATGTCATTAGACAAACGATAAAGAAAGAGGAAGTGAGAGGTAGAGGGTAGGGAGAGAGAAGGTATGGTACAGTGGAGGGAAGGAACAGTGAGTTGGGTAGAGAAAAAGAGAGGGAGGTATGGAGGAAGGCAGAGATAGATAGATAGATAGATAGATATTATTAGTGATTTATAAAATGTTGCAATTCATGATGGTTGGGTTACGAGGTTGTTGTAGTATAGTTATTTAATCTGAGCATAACATGACTTTCTTATTACAAACACAGATGAGAGTAAAAGACTATACTAGTAGTCAAGCTTCTGCTAATGGTAGTGGAACTGTCAGTACTCTCTGGTAGGGCAGATGGAAGGGTATAGGATCCTCAACAGGGAATATAATCAGTACTTAGTACTCCATCACTGCAATGGCCTTCAGAAGTGCTAAAGTATATTAGAGATTAAACCAATGCAGGACTCTGTGAGGCAGCTTAGTGAGGCTGGTCTCATATATGCTGGGGTGGGCCTTTGTACAATGCAAGTGATTTTGGATAATCCACGCTCCAGTAAGTGAGTCTAATAAACCCACTGGTTCCCCAGGCTGGATTGGGTGGAATCTTTCCTTTGGTCTGTCTTTGTTGTTGTATGTGGCGTAAACAGGCATTTGTTAACTTCTCCACAGGAAGAGCAATACAGGACAAAAGAGGTTGCACTAAAACCACCCTTCAAATACTTCCTACTCATATACCCTTTAACATTTTATTTTTAACTGAAATTTAACATAGAGGGCCCCCTAAATCAGATTCAGATAAAAGTGAGAAATAAATGAGTACTGGGGAGATGGTACCATGGGCAAAAGCACTTGCTGTGTAAGCATAAGAACCTGAGTTCAAATCTCCAATTCCCATGTAAAAGCAATGTACTCCAGGTAACTGTAGCCCTGGGAAGTGGAGCTAACTGGATCCTTGATGTTTACCAGCTAGCCAGTCTAGACAAAATGTCAGGGTCAATGGGACTTTACTCACACTGTCTCTTTGCCCTCTCTTCCCCTCTCTTCCCCTCTCTTCCTCTCTCTTCCTCTCTTCCTCTCTGTCTCTCTCTGTCTCTCTGTCTCTCTGTCTCTCTCTTTCTCTGTGTGTGTGTGTGTTTGTCTGTCTCTCTCTGTCTCTGTGTGTGTGTGTGTGTGTGTGAGAGAGAGAGAGAGTGAGAGAGAGGAGAGAGAGAGAGTGTGTGTGAACATGTGCATTATTAAATTCAATTACAAGGGGCTAGAAAGATGGCTCAGCAGTTACGAGCCTATACTGTCTTTCAGGACCCAAATTTGTTCCAAGCTCTGATAATTAGATAGTTCACAACTATTTATAAGTTCAGTTCCAAGGAATCTGACCTCCTATTCTGGGCTCCACAGGCAATTGCAAACATGTGGTGTTTAACACACTCAGGCACTCACACAATGCACATAATTTAAAAATTAATCTTAAATGATTAGTTAAAATCTGTTCTTCCTTACTTTAAAAAGTTAAATAATACTTATTATAAGTACTTTTACTAAATTATAGGTTTTCAATGAATGAATCCAAACATGTCATCCGAGGTTTTTTTCTTGATCCTAAGTTATTTGTAACATAAAAATCACATCAGGTGTTCTTAATACATTGATTGCACAACAGCTGTGTTGTTAAAATTCTCAAAACCAAGAAATAAATCAACTTAGAAGCATCAAGGAAGATTCAAATAATTCATCACAACAGCCATTATGAATATTTCCATGTATTTCCATTGCACAGAATTCTCCAGTGCGAGTTAACCTACATTATTGTCAGAATGGTAGGAGTAATGAACAGAACACTGAATACACTCAGCCAATTAATTTGTAATTCATTTAGAGGACATCTAAAGCTGATTCATTCTTTAAATTGAACTAAATAAAACCTGATTTGATTTGCTAGAAATGTGCTGGGGTCTCAGCATTAGCAATGCTAAAGGTGACCTATTATGACAATGCCTATTAAGTAGAAGCTTATGAAAGAAGTGCAGTTATTTTTAAAGCTCCTAAGAGCATATTTTAACTAAGAAAATAAATAAGGTAATAAAAATCAATTAGCATTAAAATTGCGAAGACCGTTTAGAGAAGGAACAGAGCGTAAATGGACATTTAAAAGATAGATAAGGCAAATTCTCCCCTAAAGGAAGCCTGAAATTGAAGTCAATTTTGTCATCCTATTGGACTCTCAGGCCAACTTCATTTTATGAGACATACTGAAACCTAAAGTTCTGGCATAGGTAAAGGACATGGGCAAAAATTTTGTGTAAAGGGTAATATTCCAAAAGCCCAGGGCTTCCTACACACAAGAAAACACTGTCGGTGAGCTACCCCCAAGCATGCCCTTAATATGAAATATAATCAAATGAAAACAGAAAAAAATGTAATGAAATCAATTACTCTCTCTCCTTTCTTCACCTGCAAACCTATAATTACAACACCAAACATAACTACTAATAGTGGATTCCTCCAAAACCTTTTAGAACTAACGCAAATATAGAGCTGGGTACAGTGACTCATACCATAATGGCATCATTACGGAGGCTGGGACAGGATAATTGGCCGGAACTGCATATCAAGCAATAGAACTAGAGGTGGGACTGAATGTCCATTCTCCCTCTCTATGCTGGGATTTTATGTGAAGTGAGCTTGGACCTGCCTTGTGCATGCTATCATAACTGCTACGAGTTCATATGTACAGCTACCCTGCTGTATCCACAAAACACATTTTCCTTGTAGTCACCCACTGCTTCTGGCTCTTATATTCTTCCTGTCTCTCTTCTGCAATGATCTCTCAGCTTTTGGAGAAGGGAGTATGATATAAATGCTTTATTTATTAGACTGAACATTCCTTGGTCTCTTATTCTTTCAACCCTGAACAGTTGAATGTTTCTGTGATTAGTGGTACAGTCCCTTAGTCCCTTTCAAAATTATGTATATAGTTTTTCATAGAAAATC